TGACAACATGGTTTTTTTTTCCTTTCTGTCTGTCAACACAAACCACTAGGACAAATTTGTGTTTCTATGCTACACAGACCACTGCCACTGTTCCCCATTTCAGTTTCCACACACAACTCCTTATCTTTTCTTAGACAACAAAACACTCTAACAAAACAAATCCTAACTGATTCCATCATTTTTTTTTTTTTAGCATCACAATGAAAAACAAAACCGGGCTTGGAAAGTCGAGCACCTCCCCTGTCCTCTCTATGACTTAGAACGGAGGCAACAACACAGGTAAAAGTAACTCTCCTGCTGGCTAAGAGAACAAAAGTTTTCTAGAAGCAGGCAAGCATCACATGGAAGACCAAAGGTCAGACAGAAAACGTCGGCACTCTTTCTAGACTTTTGATGACCGTGTTGCATTACACTAAGCATACCTACCACATGATTCCAGAGTTCCAAAATGTTTTCTTTAGCTAAAGTGCGTCCCAAAAGTGCCTTGTGTATGTGAAACAAGTCAAAAGCAACGTGCCACGGGTCAAAGTAAAAATCCACGAACAGCCTGCTCCCAGGAGGATAGAAGTAAGACGGAAGCCAACGCGACACATGAAACCACAACTTCCATCTACCCTCCAGGAAGACACCATCATACCACACATGGGGCCATCATACTCAAGGGCAACAGTTGTCAGAATAGAAAAAGAATGCACAGCTGTTTGAAAAAACCAAACCCTGATAACATGAACAGACAAAAATATTTCAGAAAAGAGCATAAAAACCCCCCACAAAAACATTCAAAAAATTAAACCAAATTTCAGCCAAAAACAAAACATAAACACTCAATTTTTCTTTAAAAAAACAACACATATATATATATATAAATTCAAATCAATATTTTTGGGAAAAAAGAGAATCTTACAAATGTCACAAGCATGGAATGAAACGTTAATGATAAGTTTATTAATTCTCATACAGAGCAACACTCAAACAACTTTAAGCTACATTGTCATGTCATACAGAGATAACTACAATTGTTGCGGAACTTGCAGGACCAAACTGCCGGTGCACACATGGGTCCATCATGTGACTCATTGGCCAGTCTCATGGCTCATGTGTCCATCATGTGACTCATTGGCCAGTCTCATGGCTCATCATCTGTTTGTCTCATACATTATTATACCTCCTACAGTCTTTTCTACCATCAACACTTCCTCCTTTTGGCAAGTGCGTCGCTCCATCGTGCGTACAATGTGACCGTGAATGTAGAGCAAACCAAAGTGGGAGACGAGACTAACAACACAGTATCTAAAGTATCCCACGACAGAAATTTGTGACGCGTCCCGACGGTTCGGCCCACTAGGTGGCTACAACTGAACAGCAGAAATTGCCAAAAACACTTGCTGGGTCTAAACATAGCATCTAAAAAAAAAAGAAGCTTTATTAGACTTTTGAATGACTTTTCTGTTGAAAAAATCAATTAAAAAATCTGTAAACTTTGCTGTTCAATGTGTTTTTCAAGCTATTTTGGAGAACGTCTTAGTTCTGTGATGCAGTTATTTCTCAAATCTTTGCCAATATCTCAGTATTTTGCCTCGGACAGCAGTGAAGCATTCCAAATTTGAATTGTGCGTCATTTCATTAAATATTACCGTATTCATTTGATATTGGTGTCATATGAAGGGGAATTCTGTCCTCTTTACATCTGTACCAAAAACTCAAATGATGAAATCTGTACCTAGAGGCCCAAACCGTCGGGTTTCCTCACATTTGATGTTGCTGATATGGAAGTTTAAAAAAAGCTGAAAACACCCACCCACCCACCTCGTAATAAATCAATCAATCTCAGTACACGATCTTTGAATCAGCTGTAAGCAAGGGAGAAAAATGACTGTGAAGTGTCTTGCTCAACACAAGTAAGGAATTTTTCACAAAATCCTCCATGGAGGAAAGAACAGCTCTGACCGTGGAGGCAGCTGCCGTTTCTAACAACATCCAAAAAGAACAAACAAGTACGGGCAAAACAAATTTTTCTCGACCCTTCAAAACGGTTAACTTGGAGAGACGACCAGTCTAGACATGACATTGATTATAAGATGAATCCAAGAAGGGAAATCAGAAAAAGACGGCTTAAATCTCTACACTCACCTCCATCATGCTTAAAAAAAAAAGAAGGCTAAGATGGCGTGACCATGATGGAACCATTTCACATAAATTCACAGGATATTCAAAATGATCGTCATTTAACAAAGTTTGTAAGTAGGAAAAGGGGAGGGGGAAAAAACTTAAAGGAAAGTTTTTAACAAAATGCAGCCCATATTATGATCAAGCCATTTGGAAGAGAAAGTTGGGAAATTCATTGTAACTGATAGTGTAGTCCCCCTTTTTAGCACTAAAATTCCTAGTATGTCAAAACCAAAATTCTTCTCTAATAAGGTCCATCAAAGAGAACTGAAGGGTTATGTCAAGATAAAAATGGACTGATAAATCGAATAAATTGACGACGTCCTGCGGCGAGCTTCAAAGGTAAAAAACAAACAAACAAAACCAACCTAAAGTGTTCGTATCTGAAACACATAGAGCATCTCATAACAACAATACGCCACGGCTATGCTGAACATTTTTTTGATCGATTCCTCAAGTGAATAAGACAAAAGTTCCTTTGGCTAAGAATGACCAATATTCTTCACAAGCCACACAGCACACTAATCATAACGGATATGAAGACTGTTCAGTAGCACCATTCAAGCCAAATGAAACAGCATGCAAGATGGCAGCCATGCTATACATACACGAAACGAAAAAGAAACGATCAAAAACATAAAAATCCCTCTGTGAGTAAAAAAAAAAAAAAAAAAAAAAAAAAAAAAAAAGAGCCATATAACAGGTCAGCACACAGACAAACACACTAGCAATACCTTCTGTACAACAGAGAGTCATGACACAATAAGTAGGAGGACAATAGCTCTATGGAGAACCTCAGCCAGATAGGTAGACGCACCGCAATCCCTCTTAGCTGTCTCCTACACTTTTGAGATAGGTAGACGCACCGCAGTCCCTCTTAGCTGTCTCCTACACTTTTGAGATAGGTAGACGCACCGCAATCCCTCTTAAATGTCTCCTATACTTTTGAGATAGGTAGACGCACCGCAGTCCCTCTTAGCTGTCTCCTACACTTTTGAGATAGGTAGACGCACCGCAATCCCTCTCAGCTGTCTCCTACACTTTTGAGATAGGTAGACGCATTGTAATCCCTTTCAGCTGTCTCCTATACTTTTGAGATAGGTAGACGCACCGCAGTCCCTCTTAGCTGTCTCCTACACTTTTGAGATAGGTAGACACTTTTGAAACAGGTAGACGCATTGTAATCCCTCATAGCTGTCTCTCACGCTTTTGAAATAGGTAGACATTCTTACACTTTTGAGAAAGGTAGATACCGCAATCCCTCATAGCTGTCTCCTACACTTCAGCAAATTGTAGGAGGAGATAACCAGCATGACCCCACACAAGCTTTTTTAGAACACAGGGTGACCTCCCATATTTTGTCGGCGTGCTGACCCAATACTAGCACCTCACTTCAAGGAAAAATTTAAAAGATTGTTATTGCTTGTTCCCTCTCGTCTGACTGCTATTAAAACAAAGTAAAATCAAATCGCTCTGTTTAATTTTCTCAGATCTATACACACCGGTCTAAAAGTGGGAGACCCTTACAAAGATGAAATTTTTTGTAAAAATCAACAAGACTTAACGAAAGAGGGGTTAATTTTAAGAACTGTGGTTTTTAAATCTTCAAAAATCCATAGATAAATATAAGAGCCATTGGGATTATTTGTTGCCAAACTTTGGGGGAACCTTTCTATAGGACAATATCCCCCAGGGCTTTGTTCTTGCCACTTACATGTGATTTGTAGAGGAGAATCTAGTTCTGCTGTCACCTTCTCCATGCCTTTATTGCTTGGGATCTTAAAGGCTAATACTTGCGTGAAAATTTAAAATTTAAAATTGGGAAGCATTTCAAAACTTCATAAATTCTTAACACACCTTGGCTTAAAAACTACTCTTGTCTAATTTTTTAACAAACAGGTTGTTGAATTTACTCCACCTGTTACAGAAAGGAAAGAACTTTGATCTTAAAAGAATCAGCGCTGTTCTCCTATGATCCCCTCTTGAACTCAACAAAGTGGTATACGGAAATCTCGCAACGGAGCCATCTCGCGCCTTTTGTATGCCGGCAGGCTAGCTTGTTCAGTTTTTGAACCAGGATCTGGCTCTAGTCTCCTATTGCTGGGTGTTGGTAATTGTAAGACGGTACGTACAATGTATTACACACAGGGTTCTGAAATTTTACAGTAATATACGAGACATGTGGGGTGCCTGTCTGGTCGACGCCCATGCAGCAGCCCCTCTTGGTTTTTGAAAACGGAAGAAAATCGCACAAACACGGCAATTTCTGAGGTTCTAAAAATCTGTTGACACTGAACGCTCGCGTGTAGTAAGTTTGACCTTTCCTCCGATTGGTTCCCCAAGTTTCATTCACTTTCATTTATGGGTTTTCCACGTAACAATACCTGGAATAGAGCTACCTCTGATCTCGAATGGCCTCATTTCTGGCCCAAAGTGCAGCGGGAAATTGGCATTTCTTTAAAGGAAGGTTCTCAATTTAAATGAATCCAAAGAATTTGAACACTACTAGCTAGCGTTGATCCATGCTGCGATGATTTTTAAAGAAAATAGCACCCCCCCTCCTTACATATTTTTGAGGGATGTCGGTCTACCCATCTGGAGATTCATTCATGAAAGAAGAAAATAGGTGATAAATGTATAGATAGTCCACAAAACATTTGAGAGCAGGAAAAGACGGAGGGGGAAAAAATGAAGACAAAGAATATCATTTATACATTGGAAAAAAAAAAGTTTGTAAAAAGGACAACAACAACAACCAAAAAAAAAAAAAAGAAAGTAGAGAGCCACAAAAGCAGATGCTGACTACTGTTTGTGTGCCAGGATCCGTCTCATACCTTCAGGCCTGTACTGGGCCACAATGTCCACAGTGTCCCCGGCTCGCTTGAGGGCCTGCGCCGCCTCCTCGTGGGTGGCCAGTCTCAGATCTGTGGCGTTCACCTGGACACAGACACAACACGCAATTGTAGTTTTACTTGTTTTCAAGTTTTAGTAAGAGTTTTACGGCACTTACAACACAATAAGGTCATATAAGTGCCGAAGATAAGAGGTCTTACAAGAGAGTAACAAACACAAAAAAGAAGGAGGGGAGATAAAGACGATAGATTTCTTATAGGAAAGAAGGAGCAAATCACACCAGAGCACCCGCCAACCAACCATTTAGTTAGTTGTTGAACACTTTCTTTTCTAATTACTTAGACTAATGTATGTTTTGTTTTGTTTTGGTAAGAGTTTTATGGCGCTTGAAACAAAAATACGTCTTTAAGTGCCCAAGATAAGAGGTGTTACAAGAGGGTAACAAACACAAAAAAGAAGGAGGACAGATTTAAGGACAATAGAAGTTTGATTGGAAAGAGAAAGAATGAGCAAACCATACAAGAACACCAACCACCCACTTACTAATGTCTACATACACAATTTTGTCAATACAACAAACCAGCAATAATTTGTTTGGTACTATAAAACCAAAACAAGTGCAACTATACATCCCCTTCTTTTCTTTGTAAGCAAGTAAGTAAGTTTAAGTTGTAACTATTCAGTGTTTAAGGTAATACAAACATTTTGTTACTTTTGACTATTGCTGCAAAAATTAAAATGTCTTCCTTATCATCTAGTCTTAACCAACTGCTAACAGACGCAATTCATAAGCACCTGCATTTGTATTGAGTTTCTCACTACAATAACTGTTTTACTATAAAGTAACAATGCAAATTTTTTAAACTTGATTTGAAGGCTTATTTGCAAAATGAAGTAAACATTTATTATGAAAACAGTGACCCTAAATAACCAAAAAATATATTTATCAACATATCTCTCTGTCTTGACATGTTTTTAACCTTTGTATGCTCAATAATTCTGTACTACGCACAATTTACAGCAAGAGACCAAAATTTCAAAATTGACATACACACAACATATCCATGGCTGAACACAAGAAGTGATTATATGTCCGCTTTAAATCTAAATGGAGATTACAATCAATGGGGTAGCGAGATTTTAAGCCCCTATTTTACCTCTGTAAATATCTCAGCCCAAGTTTGATTCAGTATTGAGATATTAACGTTTCTTTTTGGACTATGCTTTAGAGATTTCAAAATCATCAAAAATTTCAAACTCGTTTTTTTTCGAAACAGTGAAAAGTGGAAACAGTCACTTCTTACGCTCAGCCATCGATATTGTAGTAAGTGAAGCCCTCATCAAATATCTGACATACAGTTAAAACAATTACTACATTAGCAAAAACTATACTGCCTAAGACTGCTGAAAAGACAACTCACAGAAATGATCTGGTCCCCACGTCGCAGTTCACCGGAGAGGTCTGCAGGCCCTCCAGCGAGAATAAAGGAAACAAAAATTCCTTCTCCATCTTCTCCTCCGACAATGTTAAATCCGAGCCCAGTTGACCCTTTCTTTAAAATTATTTTTCTTGGATCCCTGAAACAATGATGGGAGAGAAAATAAAAAGAGGTTAATGCATAGCCCGATGAATGAAATAGTACACAGTAAAGACATGTTACACGCACGATAGTGAAAGATAGAAATCGCAAAACTATGATATAATTCCATCCATCAAAAATTCAAAATTGTCTGTGTCCCTTCTTATTGCCTTGACCAATGTTATCTGAAAAAGAACTTTTGACTTTTATCTGTGTGGAAACAGACATACATTCACTGGCCCCATCACCACTGGGAACTAAAAAAAACCCAGACCTTACTCGTCATCCGACCGCACTAAAGTGGTGAAGGGGCTGACTTCCAGTAGTGGATGTGACGCGAAAACGGGACGTGATTCTATAAAAATACCCTAAGTCTATTACTCACTGGAGGATTCGGGTAAAGATTCATGACTTTCAGGATTAGTAGAGATTTCTGCAGCAACAGATATATTGATAGTTTCAGTAATGTAATGACGAGACAGAGATAGATCTAGGCCTATGTATGTCTAACTAAATTGTTTTCTGGAGAACAATTCCTTTCTTTTGGTTTTACTTTAGGCCTAATTCACTGTTATTTTCTACTTTAAGAATTCATTACAACTGATCATAGACGCTTTAGTTTCATTAACTTTCAGGCTTCAATTCACGGTCTTGTGTAACTATATATATATATATAGATCTATGTCATGTTCTATGGAGGGACAGTAGCATAATTACTGGAAGAGACGCTGTTGAGAAAAAACAAATATTACACGAATGTGGTGCCCTCTATGAGGATCAACTACAACAAAGTTACACAGGGAATACAGATAAAAGCATCTAAGATGTTTCTGGTGAATTATTTGGTAGCAAATAACAGGAAGAGTTCTATACTACAAAAAACAATAGTAGTATAGTAGTCTCCGATCATCAGGGAAATTTGAGGGTCAAATCTCACCGTTATCTTTTACTCCTTACTATTTCTATTAAGTCACCTCTATGTCTGCCAAGTCAGAAGAACACACTCCCCAGATGAATCTAAGTTGAATATTCACTGGGGATATTTCTTAAAACTATCCACAACTGTTCAGAAGAAAGTAAATAGTTTTTTCGTGGGATGATGAATAAGGTCCGTTTTTTTAGTATTAAGATTTACTTTTAGTAGGTACCACAAACTGAAATTTCAAAGTCCTCTGATTTCATATTTAACCGCACTTTATAGAATTTATCATTCTGAGCATTTTGATACCAAATTTATACATGTAGCTTCATTTTTAACAATGTTATGAACATCTGAAGTTGCAGAAAAATGTTACAGTTTTTAAATTGCGAAATGTCTACACTTTGAGATGTCACAACATTCTTAAATTTGAACGGACGTTCACAAAAACTTGTGGACACACACCTATGCACATAGAGAACAAGCTCAATTTTTTTCAGGGCTATGAAATAACTATAAATGGAAATTTATTGACGGAAACATGGCTTTTTGACCAAAACGGCAAGAAATACAAGGGGAGGTTAAAATCACCACTCGCAACCGCCGGCTTATCAGCTGCGTGCCGGGCCGCGCTGAAGGGAAAAGAGAGAATTTATACGAAACCGGGGCGATGGTGCCCTGCTTGCAAGCTGACGGGGAGCGTCCGGTATTTATTTGCGTATAATGGCTGTGTAATTCTTGAAGAGGAATGAATGGGCTTTCGGCCGATATATTTCCGTAGTCAGTCCGATCGCTGGTTCCATAAAAAAAAAACAGGTCCGAAAGTTTTCACACGCAAATCTCTTCTACTAATTCTTTAAGGACAGACTTTAGAAATATATCACCGGAAAGAGCATCTTCTCATCTTGAAATATCGACGAATCAGATTGCAGTATTTAATACCATAAACGCTCCCCGTTCCTCTTCAACCGAGGTCACTCGAAAAATCAATACACGAAACGCGCGGCCGCGACAGTGAAAACCTCGATAGTGTTGTCTTTTATCCCACAAGATTTTGCTTTCAAAAGAATCGTTGAATCAAATAAATAATACCACTAAAAAGAGGAAAAGCTCCTCTTTCTTCGGATATATCAAGTGTCTGTGTGTATGCATGATTACACGGCGTTTTAGGAGGGTAAAAATATGTGTTTTGGTCTCCGTGACAGTGCGCCACGGGGTTGCACGGCCAGTTTGCGGTACCTACTTTTACTTTTAGGCTTTTTTTTATGACAATAATGCATGGTTTTTGTAGTCATTAGGGGGGTTTCAGGGGGTCTCCCCCTGAGATGAGCGAGTACATAATAGCTGTGTAGTAGTAGTTAGTACGGCAGGTTGGGGGTGGGGTGGGGGGGTGTCTCCCCCCTTAAAATAATGTGCCGTAACATAGATCTAAACTAACCATTTGCGACTTTTTTCAAAGCCAAAATCGTGTTCAGGGCCCTAAAAAAAACCCTATACAGCTACAAAATAATACCCTTTTTGAGACGCGAGCGTATTTAATAAATTTACTGACTTCAGTTTAATAGGCCTAGATTTTAGATCGGAAGTGGCTATCCTCACCTGGGGTGAGAATAAAAATACGATTGACCTCTCACCCCGGATTAGACTTGCCAGCGTTGGCTATTCTCACCCGGTGTGAAACAAGACCTGTATTTCCTGATTTCGGACTGTCTATCGGTGTGGATGATCAAATTGACAAAAGCAAAGAAAAAATGACGTTATAGCACAAAAGTAAGCTAATTTGATCGTCTACAAAGATGCTATGGCTATTTCACTTTTCGAATCAAGCTGAACTACGCGGGTCGCCATTTTGTTTTGCTCGGAAATTCTCGCAAGATCTACTAGTAGTACTAGTTACTCCTCCTCTCTCTCTGAATACTGTCTATCAGTGTGGACGATCAAATTGACAAAAACAAGGATAAAAAATGATGTTAAAACACAAAAATAAATTAATTTGGTCGTCTACGAAGATGCCATGGCTATTTAACTTTCGAATAGAGCTGAACTATGCGGGTCGCCATTTTGTTTTGCCTGGAAGTTCTCGTGCTACTCCTCTCTCTCTCTCTACCCTCTCTACACATCTCTGTTATCACAGTGTAGAATTCTGTGGTTCACGGTGAAAGCTACACTGGTTGGCCTAGGCTATCACGGTGAACGCACACCGGGTGAGAATAGCCAAAAGGTTTGCCTGCGCTATTCTCACCCGGGGTGAGAATACAGGTGGCCATCTAGATAGAATCTAATCTAGATTTACTAGATATTCTTATATATATGTGTGCCTACTAATCCTTACTAATATTATGATTGATCTGGGAAAGCCTGCCTAGATCTAGATCTAGATCTAACTGAACCACCCTCATCACTTCATCTGTGTATCTCAAGAAAAAAAGTCAACCCACCTAACAAGACAATGCAGCCGACAGAAACTAGATCTAGTAGAGAATTTAGATCTAGATTCTAGATATCTAGAATTGCAGACCTAGAATAGAATATCTTGCTAGATCTAGATCTAGAGTAGAGTAAGAATCTGTGGCTAGCTTAGATCTAGACTCTAGATCTAGATCTAGAGTCTAGCCCTAGAAGAATTAATACTTAATATCTAGATTTAGATCTAGAATTTATCCAACTAAAATAAAAGTTGTACAAAAGCCTTGATTCGTAGTCCTCACTGATCTAGGGGAAGGACTTCCGTGATGAGCGACCACCCCGACAAATACAATAAATAAGAGACCTAGAATCCAGATCTGTCTCTACCCTTACCCTAACCCTATCTCTACCCCAACCGCTTCCCCACACCCTAACCCTACCCCAAACTCACTATTCTACTCTGTATCATAGGCCTAGTGTGTCTCTTGTTACGGAATTCCTCCCAATCTGGATCTTCTACTTCTACACAACATTACGGATTGAAAAACTAAAAACATCCATTATCGTTGTTACATAAACTACAATTGACATTAAACAGCACGAAATCTCAATCCATTTTGCAGCAAAACAGTGACTTGACAATTTCAAACATTATGTATCACAAACAAAAGGCACAGACAGGAGAGAAACAAACTCCATCTACACTCGCATCGAGAAGAGACAGGAGACAGTCTAGTCTTTGGAAAACACACCTTCTGACTCTAGGATCGTAAAAATAGGGCTCCTTTCGTCCGTCTGTTCGATGCATATTGGATTAGTCTAACTAAAAGGGCACTTCAAGTGTCCATATCAATCAGAATTTAAAACTTAAAAGATCGCGAATACTTCTTTGCTAGCCTACCGGGCTCCTCACAAGGAAGCCATCTTGAATCTTAACATCTCGCCGATGTCGTTTGTATCGCAGCATCTGATTGGTTGAGTGAGGCGGAACTAATGTTGTTTTCATCCATTCGTAGGCGAGGACTCATCCTCACAAAAATCAATAAACTAAAAGTGTCGCCTGTCAGAATAGGATGATACGAAACAAGTTGAATAATAATTTCGACGACCCAATTATATCCCATCTGCCACACCACAATAAAACCTGACATTAATAGTTCGTTAAGACGTAACCTTTTAATTTGATGGCAATACTTGACTCAGCTGTACTGTTCAAAACAGAGAGATCAACACATTCACTATCCTCCTAGCCGATGGAACAACAAGAGTGGGCAACCCCGTAAAAGGACAGCCCTGCAACAGTCTACTACTATCATATCATATCACATTACATCATACTATATTATATTGTATCATATTATATTATGTTATTATATTATATTGTATCATAACTTAGTTTTCGTAAGAGTTTTACTGTACTTGCAAACACAATAAGGTCATATAAGTGCAGAAGATCAGAGGTTTTACAAGAGAGTAACAAACACAGAAAAGAAATAAAAGAGATGAGGACGATAGATGCTTCATAGGAAAGAAGGAGCAAACCACACCAGAGCACCCGCTAACCACCTGCTATTATATTACATTATACATATACAATGTATTATATT